ATTAAAAAGGAAAAACTGAAATACATCACTGATATTGACATAAGTATTGAGACCCTCTACTAGTTGAAGAACATTTGGCAGCAATCACTGTCTTGAGTCATTTGCACAAATAAGTTTGGAGATTTTCTACATGTTCTTCCTGCATATCCTCTCCGGCTCCATCAGGTTGGATAGAACCTCTTGGTAGAGAGCCATTTAGAGGTCTGTCCAGAGAAGTTTGACTGGGTTCAAGTCAAAGCCAATTGGTGGAGTACTGCAGTGATGATTGCCTTGCTGGAAGTTTCTCCTATTTCTACACAATATGTCTGGATAGAGGGCACTGTTCACTTAGGAACCATCAGTGCAGTAGAAATTACCCTGTAGATTTCCCTAGAACGTAACTTGAAAAAATCCTCTGAGTCTCTGAGCTCTGCAGGCAGTTGCTTTGACCTCATGGCTTCACTTTTACTCCAAAAGGCATTTTCAGCTGTGAGACCTTGTATGGATGTGTGTGTGCCTTTCCAAATCATATTCAACCCACTGAATTTAGCACAGAGGAACTGCAATCAAGGTACAGAAACATTTCCAAGATGATCAAGAGAAATGGGAAGACCTGAGCTAAATTTCAAGTGTCAAAGGGTATGTGAACGTGACCAACAGTCTGAAATTCCAACATATTCAATTTTAGCAGTATAAAACAGAGAAACCACAAAACCTCACATCTGAGAATTGGTTAAAAAAAGAAAAAACAAAAACATTTATCAAAAGGTTTGCAAATTTGTTGTTTTGTTTTGTTTTTCAATTTACTAATTGCTTGACTAAGGATCTTTTACCCGAGAACAAACAAAAGTAAAACAAAACTAATACAGCTGAAAAATGAAGTGAATTTTATACTTAAAACATTCAGATTCCTTTAGTGTAGATGACTGTTGCACACAGACACTGACCTGAGACCACTCCATGGCCACCCACTGGGGACAGGCAAAGGAGTTGCAGACATTCCGAGTGACAGGTCGAGGGGAGTGGGCGCACTTCCACTCCTCCACCTGGGAGAACTGTCCGTGGGTGTCTTCTTCCACACACAGCACACTGCGTTCCTGCCAGCCACCACCTTCACCACAGGACACCGAGCACTGGGTCCAGGGGCCTTGCTCCCAGCTGCAAACACACACACACACACACGCGCGCACGTAACAAGTTTCAAAAGTAATTTCATGTTAACAGATTTATATATTTATGCATTAATATATAGATATACAGGATATGTAATTTTAGACCAGTGGTTTTAAAACTGAGGGAAAGGAGGAGAGGACAGAGGCAGGGAAACATGAAGCAAACATACTGCATACAATGTCTGTGATTTGGCTATCAAGGTCAGCAGCTGCAGCAGCAGCAGTGATTGTGACACAATTAAGGTACTTTAAAACCCTTGAATCAAAACTTAATCAAATCTGGATACAGATGTTATACAGATCTTTTAGACCCAGTGGGACTTACACATTCAGAGATACAGTATCATTCTCAGATGTCCACCATGAATAAACATTTATGGTGATCCACTTAGACCTTGACCCTTATATTATACAATTTAGAATCACCAATTAACCTCAGCATGTCTTTGGACTGTGTGGGAGGAAGCCGGAGAACCCGGAGAGAACCCACGCTGCACGGGGAGAACATGCAAACTCCACACATCCTGTACCTGTGAAGCGACGGTGCTAACCCCTGAGCCACCATGCAGCACAATAAATATTAACTATATAAACTTAAACTAATACAGTTATGCATTTTCTTGTAAGAACATACCACTGTAAGGATAATTGCTTTGGAACACTTTCATGTTACTTTTTAATTTAGATTCATTCTTCTTTGGAGGATTCATGGCATCTCTCTGTGAGAGGGAGGTTTTATGTGTTGAGAGAACTCTCCATAACTCTTATTTCCATTCTCGTAGGTGTTCCTTCTATTAAATTGCTAACTTTTGGATGCATCAAGGTGTATTCCAGTCAGAGTTACTCACCGAGGCAGAGGCTGAAAGTGATCATATGGCATGACCTCTTTGAATCCATCACTGGAAGAGACAAAATATTATAAAACACTGTGAGTTTATAAGAAAACAATAGGTTGCAGACTGAATCTAAATCACTCTGCAGCTCACTACTTAGTTACGCACACACACACACACACATCAGAATGTTGCTAAAATCTTTTTTTTGTGACATCACAAAAAGAAAATCCAACACAGATTGTCCCTACCTCTCTGGGCAGGGGTCCATGTTGCACTCTTTGAGTTTTGGTGTGGGTTTGGTGTTTTCAGGAAAACTGTGACAGTGGTGCTCAGGCAGGCTCTGGTTGGAGCGGATGTCTATGCACTCTGCAGAGTTCAACTGATAGCCTGGAAGAGAAAACCAAGCACACTGTTTAACTATACAATACTGATATTAACAGATGATGCAAAAAAAAATGTAACTTTCATCAGAGTACTCCCTTCTCTATAGTTAATCAGGGAAGAGACTTGTAGCTTAAGGTTTCTGTAGAATAAAATATTTTATAGATACAAGGTATGTCTGAAAAGTTTCAGGACTGGTGTTACAAAATATATATTTCAAATCCAAACTACAAACTACAAGTTTTCCCCTTCAAAGTAATCCCCCTGGAGTCTAACGCACTTCCCCAACCTTCTCTGCCACACCGCCATGCACTCGTGGAAGGATTCTTCCGGGATCCTCCGCAGCTCCGTCGTCACAGCCATCTTGATGTCATCTACGTCTTTAAAACGGGTCAGCTTGAAGACCCCCTTAAACTTGGGAAAGAGGAAAAAATCCCACGGAGTCAGGTGGGGTGAGTAGGGAGGTTGCTCCAGCACGGTGATGTTGTTCTCAGCCAGGAACTGTCGGATGCTCAGGGCATTGTGAGCAGGCGCGTTGTCGTGGTTAAGCAGCCACGACTTGTCCTGCTACAACTGTGCCTCCTCTCACGCACTGAACAAAGCAAATGCCACAGGACCTTTTTGTAGACGTGCTGGTTGTTCATCTGAAGTCAAAAACTTGTAGTTTGTAGTTTGGGTTTGAAATATATCTTTTGTGACACCAGTCCTGGAACTTTTCAGACACACCTTGTATTCTGTCCTAATGTTGTCCCTCTGCATACGGGCGGGGATAAAAACGTTACCAGTGACTTACTAATGGTTGCCTCACCTCCTCCACAAGTGACTGAACAGGGAAAGAAGTCAGTCTCTCTCCACTGGTACCTAATTGGCTGGTAGAATAGAAACTGGACAACTGTGTCCTTGGAGCCGCCATACTTCATCTGAAAGCATGTTGTGGAACAGAATAGCAGATAACAGCATTACATTAGAAAGTGTAGGGGAGAAATGTACTTTCAGAGAAGAATACTGTCAGAGAAAACTTTCATTGTTTTCAAATCTTTTCAATGTTGTTTCGTTAAAAAGGCAGAGAACTACCTTAATAAGTTGAACAGCTTTTTCCATTTAGGGATGGAATTGACATGTAAGCCATTCATCACAAACCTTGAAGCTGTGGGTAATATTTGGCCGTGAGTACTGAATTAGTAGAAGCGTTCTCTAAATACTGGCCTTACAGACAGATGGTAATGAGTCATATTTGTCACCAAAGAAACTACTGCACTGTACTGACAGCATGTTAAAATGTGAAGTGTAAATGTGTAAACTGAATTAGCTTCTGACTGAGTCAAAACAACAACACAATGCTTCAATCTGCAAAATGTTGCCTTTCAGTGTGCATGGCATAACCATCGTCTGCTGTCACAACATCTGACCCCATCAGTAAGTCTCAAACCTTTGTCGCAACATAATTCTTACCTGTTAAATGTTTGCACAAACTTGGTTTGATTTGTATCCAGAAGGAAAGTCTTAATGGAAAGATTCTCATGTATCTACTCAAGATTTGAAACTGCAGAAGACAGACTGAGTGGATATTGTCAGTACTCTAGCCTCAACATAAGCTGGATGAATAATTTTTATTCACAAAGCAGATAAAGCTGTAGGCAATCAAGGGCTTTGGATTATACTCCTGACACCACAGGTATTAAATCAGATTACTGATATCAACACTGACTTGCAGCTAGAGTATAACACAGGGGCTACTTCTGGTTTAAGAGCTAAACTTATCTAATGGCAATGCCATGCAGAAACTGTCCTTGGTACATTAAGCTGCAATTTAAATCTTGCATGTTCCTAAACAATGACATGTGGAGCCATCACCATCTGCAGCAACGGCCAAGGACAAGGCCAGACTGCAGCGTATCATCCACTCGGCCGAGAAGGTGATTGGCTGCAATCTGCCTTCTCTCCAGGACCTGCATGCCTCCAGGACTCTGAGGCGTGCAGGTAAAATTGTGGCCGACCCCTCCCACCCTGGACACAAACTCTTCCAATCACTCCCCTCTGGCAGGAGGCTTCGGTCACAAAACCAGTTTCTTTCCATCTGCCACCAGCTTCATTAACAATGCCCAGGACCCCCACTGCCCGTATGAAGATACGCTTGACCAAAAGTTACTGAAATTGAAGCCAGTGCAGCAACGGTTTGAGATTATTTTAGCTGCAAATTTGGTGCTCGAGTGAGTCATTTTGGCAACAGGACAGTATATGCACATGTGTTCATGGTATTACAGGAACATCTTACTCAGTGCCATGGTATGACTCTCTAATGTGGTTTATTAGGTACTGAAAAACAATGGAGCCCCAATGGCACGGAAGGATACTGTAAGATAAATCAGGTTTGAATGCATACACAACACTTAAAAGAATGTTAAACATAATGTTGGTTTAGGTCTTGCATAGGATTTGTTGACAAGACGATAATATAGAAAATCACTTTAAAAACGTAGAATGCTGTGAACACTTGTAGAATGATGCTAGAACACGATCACATTAGTGAAGCAAAAGGTTTTGATCTTGTCCAGGACACCTAATTATGTGGACATCCTGTTAGGAGCTTGTCTTTGTTACAAGTGCAATATAAAAGGGAATTGTGAAGCAGTACAGGAACTACAAATAGGAAAATGTACTTGTGTTTAGATTTAGCATGCCTCTCCAACAGTTATACTAATAGTGCCAATGGCACCAACCTCAGTCTCATAAAAAAAAATTTAAAAAAATCCTTCCTTTGTTATGCAAGAGACTGATTTATTTATGTTGTAGCTCATGTATCCATTATACAATATGTACATCTGAAGCTGAAAGTAAACCAAGGCTTGTCCCCATTCATTTGCTTTACCTTGATAATGTAATCAGAATTGAGTGGGCCATGTGTTCTGAGTGTCTGTCTGTCAGTCCCTCTTTGAAAGTCCAAGGAGGTGTTTCCAATTTCATAGGAGCCTGTAGACACGAGATTGGTCTCATCCTTCCTCCCCTGAAGAGAGACAGCTTCAATGACTGAGGAAAAAACAAAGCAAGAGGGACATGTTGTAATGTTATGTTCATACACAATAATTTTCAGTACTTGTGTTATGTTCAACTCAATATGACCTTCAGCAAAAAATGCAAACGCATAAAACATGATCAGCAAACCTGAGGGGGCTTGGTGTGAAAAGTTTTGTTTGCTTCCAAAAAAATAAAGACACTGTTATCTAATGCAGGTATATGGATCATCTCCACAACAGCAATAGTAAATGCATAAAACATAATTTCTTAGGGGGGAGATACCATCAGCCAAGATATAGCAACCTTGATAATGATTTCACAAAAACTGAAGTCAAAAATCAATGCAACAAGAAAGTGGACACAGGAATCACCTGTGGTTTGCTCTTTATAGGAATGCTGAATTGCAATGGTTAATTCCACAGAGGAAGTAAGTCCAGGTAGGCACAAAGACAGTGCTGCATTGTTAAACTCCCACATTTCAAATGTACAGAGATAAACAGTTTGAATAATGTAATTACAAATGTGTTGCACAAAAACATTGTGATTGTACATCACTTATTCAGGCCTGTGTCATGATGGCAGAGGACTCACAATGCCGCCATTTTGGCCACATCCTCGATTTCCTCCAACTAAACCCCAGGACTTTACCTTTCCCTTTCCTACTGTCTTTTGTGTTTACCCTGGGTTCTGCTCGGGGGATGCATCCAGAAATACTCCAATGTGAAGCATTCAGGGGAGGCGTTCTGTCAAAGCTCACTATCATTGAATTCAAGCTCCGTTCAGGCTCTTTACCAAGATTGTCTGGTAGAATGTACACATTACTGCTGATGCCACACAAACCTCACTACCAATCTTACTGTCACTCTACAGAAACTCTTTTATATGGCAACTCCCAAACTGAGGGAGCTGGTTACCTTTTCTTGTTGGAGTATCACGATCTCAAGCCTGGAAGCGAAAATGCTTATTTTAAATGCTACACCATCCCAGGGTGTGCAGGAGGTCACAAACAAGTGACAACAGAGGCTGTAGAATAGAAAGTGTAATCCTAGCGCTGCCCTGATGGGACTCTCTCCAACCAGATGAAGACAATAACAATTTCTTAATCCAGAACAGCAATCCATATTTCAGTGCCCTCCAAGCCAGCTGAGGTTGCATCGTCAATCATTTCCTGTGGTCCTTGAAGCCCTAATCCTAAATTCCTTGCAGGGATGAGCTACTAGAATTTCTTTGCTGCACCTGCATTTGTTGAGTGAGTGGTAGGACAGAAAGCTAGTTTAGACCTAATACTTCTTTCTTGCACCAACTGTTAAGACTTCACAAAGATATACATGATTATCTACTTTCATTTGTCTGCTGGTATATTTTTTGCCTTGGTGCTAGCTTCCTAGAGCAAAACACAACAAAACTACATGCAAGTTTATAGACCAGTAATCGTTTTCTGTCATGTGTGTTTTATTTACAATTCTTCTCTAGTCTTATGTACAATATATAACCCCTGGGGCAACTGTAACTTTTAAAAATCAACTCTACATCCACTGCCAGGATTATGACAAGCTTCATAGCTTTTTACTTCTTTGCAAAACCTCGATCTGTTCCTTTGGCATTGGGCTACTGATCAGTCTAGCTAATACCAACAGACTGCTGCTGACTGCAATCAATAATGTATGATTCTGAATTCAGGAATGGACAAAGTAAACAGAAAAGATCAACATGTTCAGAGAGGCAGTGGGCTTACAGCAAGGTACAGTGCAGTTTTGTAATCCGTAGTCCATGATAACAGTGAGTCTATAATACAATAAAATTATGAAAAGGAAACACCAGGTGTTAGAAGGTCACCGGATTGCGTCCCAGTGAGGACACCCGGGATCTTTCTGTGTGGAGTTTGCATGTTCTCCCCGTGCAGCGTGGTTCTCTTCAGGTTCTTCGGCTTCCTCCCATACAGTCCAAAAATATGTTGAGGTTAATTGGTGATTCTAAATTGTCTGTAGGTGTGAATGTGAGTGTGCTTGGTTGTCTGTCTCCAAGTGTAGCCCTGTGATAGACTGGTGACCTGTCCAGGGTGTCCCCTGCCTTGACCCTGAGTCAGCTGGGATAGACTCCAGCCCCCTGCGACCCTAGTGAGGATTAAGCGGTGTATAGATAATGGATGGATGCTTTCCATAAACAGAAAGTGAGAGCATTTTAACAAATCCCCTTAAATTTCACAATAATTACAACCTTTCCCCCAAAAGCTATCATAATTTGAAACAATAAAAAATGCTATATTCTTTGTCATATCATGAAAAGAAGTCATTTACGAGCAATCGTTTCACAGCAACATGGTGACAATAAGGTCATATTCTGATAAAATTTAGTTTCAGAGAAGTGCACGAACTTGGAAGATAGGTAAGTGGAGCGGCAAATTATTTCCTATAATAATGTTTTTCTGGTAGCTTATAAATGATTTTGTAAAGTAAGTCTTACATCACTCTGTGATTCAGGAGCATCTGACAAAGCACATATCCAATAAATCCTATGACTGTTCAGGATATTATGTTATTGAAATCTGAGCAAATTAGTAGCCTAAGGCTTGTGAACATATGTTGGGTTTGTCTGCATTCATCAGGAAATTTTGCACTCCTTTTAACTGACAATAAAATAGGTCAGGAAAACCCACATGACACAAACAAATACTTCAAAATGCTCAGAGGATGTAAATCTCAGAGCTTAGGCTTTGTGTGGTGGTCGTATTTATGTGCTGATACCTCTGCTTGGGTTTATTTAGTACTGAAAAAAATTATCCATAGATGCTATGAAGTTGTGGTTTGAGCTTTGATTCCACTCAAAGCTGAAACTAAGGCCAAACTGGAACACTAGATGTAGAGCAAAGACCCAGGTTTCACAAGACCATTTATCCTGGAAGAGCTGAAAGCAGGCATCTCTAACCTCAAAGCAACAAGGCAATGGGTTTAGACAACATTGCAACTGGGCGAATCAAGAACTTTGGTTTAGAGGCTAGGAAGTGGCTACTTGCACTATATAACAACTGTGTGATCACTCAGAAGCTTTCCAATAGCTGGAAGAAGGCCCAGGTCCCAGCACTGCAGAAGCCAGGGAATGATCCATCACTTTCCAAGAAGTGAAGACCAATCTCTCTTCTCAGCCACACGACAAGCTCTTTGAACACCTTATCCTCAACAGACTCAGCCCTGTAAAAGATGAACACTGCATCCCAGAACAGGCAGACTTTCGCCCAGGGAAGTCCAGGACAGGTAGAGCTGGGCAGTAAGAAGAGCAAATGATGAGACTGAAGAATGTCCTCCCACAAGGAATTGTGCTTGCTTCACTCCTCTTTAACATCTACGCCAATGAACAACCAGGACCTCAAGGTACCTGTCTCTTTATCTACACAACAGACTTAGGATTAAGAGCACAACACTGTGGCTTCAAGGTTGTTGAAGGTGATGATGGATGAACTAACACAATACCAAGCAAACCACCTCCATTCTAATTAATCGAAGACAAAGATCTTTGCCTTCCATCTACACAACCGAGAAGCTAAACAGCACTGGCTGAAAAGCAGATTCACAGCAAGATTAAGTTGTGGTTGGTTTCATGGTCACGCCGCTTTACTACAAATATAACAATGAGAGTCAACATAGTCTGACAGACAGCTTATTAATATGACATTGAATGGGCAGGAACTCCTCATTGTGCCTTATACACTTGTATGCCGCTTAAAGGGTGGCACAGTGTAGCAGTGGTTAGCACTATCCCCTCACAGCTACAAGGTCCTGGATTTAAATCTCAGCCTGGGATCTTTCTGTGTGGAGTTGGCACATTCTCCCTGTGCAACGTGGGTTCTCACCGGGTTCTTCAGCTTCCTCCCACAGTCCAAAGACATGCTGAGGTTAATTGGTGATTCTAAATTGTCCATAGGTGTAAATGTGAGTGTGCTTGGTTCTCTATGTAGCCCTGTGATGGACTGGTGACTTGTCCAAAGTGTATGCTGCCTTCACCCAAAGATAATAATAAAAAGTTAGTGTTTGCAGCATTTATTTATTTATTTATAATTATTTTGGGAGAAAACATCTACTCGTTGAGAGGTGATCACTGTTTTTAAAATGATTATAAATCTTTCTCTCTCTTGTGCTTGCTCATTTTGGAAAAATGTACACATAAGCAAAACCACATTATAAATATATAAAGACAAATTTGCATATAATAAAAGCAAACACTGTGATAAATTGGTGCATACCAATTACTCTCTACATTCAACCTAATCCATACAAAATTAAGTACTATTAAATGGAATTTGTTCCTTTCAGAAGTGACCAAATGTAGCGAATACCCATCGTAATCTTTGAAATGATCTCAAATAGCACTTCTTATTCTTAAAGTTAACAGTGTCTTTCGCTATATACGTGAATACTCTGTATCAAATGTAAATCTTAAAATGCACACCACTGAACACGAAGCTGACAAAGAAGACACTCAGTGTGAAATGACAGTGCAAAGGCATTACACATAGAACAGAATAAGGTTCTCTGCACTCAGTGTGGACAAGTCACTCACCTATCATATCAGGGCCTTTGGCATTGAGTCTGAGAAAGCGGCTTCCTGCTGGCACCTCCAGCACTGTCTTCAGAGCTGCAGGCAGAAACAGAGATGGAAAGATTTCAGTCTAACTTACAGTACAATACAATATACAGTAGGGTGGCCAACTAAAGGAAAAATCCATACAATTGAGTTGAGAGTCACATCAAAACACATAGAAGGAATATCTTGGACTCGATAAACAGAACTGTTTGGACTTGGAGAAGTTGTAATATTCGTCTCTCAGTCCATGCTTTTGGTTTAACGGCCCAGAACCTTATTTAACCTATAAAAATAGTGGAACAAACTGTTTGCTAATATTAGCTAAATAAATGTTGCGTTAATTAAGGTCCGAGCACCCAAAGGGTGCGAAGACCCTGTTGGAACTGCTTGGGTTTTTATTATTCTTCATGCCAAAGAGACGCGTTTTTGAGGTCCTAAACGTACACGAAACTGACAAAACTTGGCACACACATCAGACCTGGTGAAACTTTTTAGAATTTGGTGGAAATACACACCTCAATAGAAAAATGGCTGAACAGCGCCACCTTGGAAATTTCAACGGAATCCCGTCGGAAGCACTTCTGACCTAGAGTTACGCAATTTGGTAGGCATATAGAGCAGGTCAGGACAAACAAAAAAGTCACCCCGCGCCAAGCTCTAAAATACAACATGGCTCAACTGCACCCCTACAATATGTTAACAGAGTCCCATTGTGGCAATGTTTCACCAAAAACACATATGTAACAACTTATGACACACAAAAACGTCCATTAGCACATTTCCGTAAACCGACACAATATCTGCCATGTTAGAAAAAACGGCGAGCATGCCAGGCCATTTTCTCTCAAAATGGTCATTTTTGGCCATTTTCAAAATCTATCTCCTCCTAGGGGGTACGTCATACACACCTGAAATTTGGCCAGCACAAACTACAGGATGTGGTGATTAAAAGTTATTAAAACGCTCCGCAGATGAGGCCAATTTTGATCAATGGCCATTTTGTCCATTTTTGCTGTGTTTCTGGCATTCAACGAGTCCTGTCGAAAGGCCGTTTCACCTACAGCTACAAGATTCGCTGGGCATGTGTAGTAAGTCAGGACGCACAAAAAAGTCAATCAGTGTAAAGTCCTAAATCCAACAGGAAGTCTGCCATTTTGAACAAACACGGTGAAAATTTTAGCGATTTTGGCTGACTTTTGGCCTTTTTGGCCATTTTCAAAATCTATCTCCTCCTACAGGGAAGGTCGTACACACCTGAAATTTGGCCAGCACAAACTACAGGAGGTGGTGATTAAACGCTAGTCAAATGGTCTGCAAAAGTCTGACAGCGTGGAAATGGTGGCCCCCGGAATTTGGCCACAACGCCATAAAACGCCAGAATACGAGACGTGCTGTGTAACTGGCCTGTGTGTGCTCCGATCGGCCTGAAACTTTACACGCATGCTCCAAATCTCAGCCAGAGCGCGCTTCCACCATGGCCAACATGCACGCTGTCACGGCTTGCCACTAAACAGGAAGTGGCTCGTAACTAGGCCACACGGGCTCCCATCTGCCCCAAACTCAACACGCCGGATCAGAGTCCCACCTGCAGCACGTTTGTGCCACATCCCGACGTTCGCAAAGGCCGACAATCATACGGTTAGGACCCATCCATCGCCACTTGCGGCTTAAATTTGATTTGTTTTTCCCTGAACAAACATGAGCAACATCATAAAACATATGTCATGAAGACATCCCCTGTTCTTGCTTCAGCACCCAATAGCACCCAATCCCCAAGTCTGCACACACCCCATTATTAACCTCATTAAACATCCATGATGACCTGTAAAAGATGTCTGTGCAAACACACTGTATCATCCATTACAGCTAAATAGAAGTGACTAGTTTAGAACTACACTCCAGATTTATTTACTGAACTTGTTGTATGTGTTGTTGCCATAACAAATGTTGGTATGATTTCTTCTAGTCTGTTACTTACAATACATAAATATATGGCCATTTAAAGATGTCATATCTGTAGTTATTGCTTTTTGTTGTTCCTCACAAGGTCATATTTTCTTCTTGGAACACAAAATAAATGAACAAACATCAAGTGACTAATGCAGTTCTGCCTGATTATTTTGATCTTGCTAAAATTCTGTGGAATGAACAGTCACAACACATAACTGCATATACAGATTTTATGTTAGTGAAATATCACAAACTCACCATGGAGTAGCTACCATATATATTATTGTGGTTCAACAGATCAGGAATCAGTAAAACACCACAGCAGTTCCTTTATGTCTCTGATGATATATTTAATGGTTCAAACCAATCTTTCTGGTTGGTTTAATGAGAAAGAGAGCCATTGTTCATTTCAGTGTCATTTTAGTGTACCTATTGCTGTTATTATCACACAGACAGAGGAGGCAGATCATGGGTGTACTAAGACAGTCAGACAGCAAGTTGATATTTGCTGACACTATGAAGTTTGTTTGTTTGTTTGTTTGTTTGTTTGTTTATTAGGATCCCCATTAGCACCAGCATAAGCATCGGCTATTCTTCCTGGGGTCCACACACATACACACAATGTCATTTATACACACAACAACAACAAACAAAACAAAACATAACAACTCGTCTCGTTAACTTTACAAAAAAAAGGAAGAGAAACAAATTGTCATTCAGTACACTAAACATTAAATCATATACAGAATTATAGATCCATCATTATTAATCTGGAACACATAATTCTTCATCATAGACACATAATCAGAATGATCTTACACAACATCTTATCAGTCCAGTTCTTCAACCAACTGTATCCAAGAAAACAGGGCAAATTGTGTTCTATATTCTTTGCTATTATAAGCATTACATTTTATTTAGAAACACCATTTTACTGTTTACACCTTCTCAAAAACTTGTAAATATTGTTTCAACAAAATTTTGAAACGATCTCCAGTATCCTGCTGCACTAAATACAGTGGTAGTGAATTCCACCTAACCATGGCTCTGTACATGACTGTTTTCTGCATTGCGCTTGTTCGTACTTTTGGTAGAGTAAATCGTCTTTGTGTTACGAGTCATGTTTGATAGTTATGATAAGCAACCTGAGAATAAAACCTTTCATGTAGTATCTTTGGAGATCGCGTCAACAGAATATTCCTGACAAAGTTTAACAGAACATAGATGGATCTCTGCCTGATAGTGAGCCAACCCAGACTGTCATGCATATCTGTTACATTCGTTCTGTAGGAACACTTTAAAGCACAACGCGCTGCTTTGTTTTGAGCTACTTGTAGTTTTTTTAACGCTTTCATTGCAGCACCAGACCAAATCACAAAACAATAATCAAGCTGTGACAGAACTAAAGCATTCAAAACCTGTTTGATGACATCAGATGGCATAACTTTTAATACTCTCCGTACAACTGACACACCGCGACCCATCTTACTCACAGTGTATTCAATTTGTTTAGACCATGTTAATTTATGATCTAGGATAATACCCAGAAGTTTTACCTCTTGTACTTGTTCAATTGGTATATTGTTTATCTTTAATCTGAGCACAGGCTCTGCTTTTAACTGATACTTAGACCCTTAGCTTATTTGTTTTGTTGTTTTTCCATCTTGGATTTCAATCAGTTTAGTTGTCAGCTTGTTATACTGAGAGAAATTGAAATTTAAAATCAATTAACAAACCTTACATTAAAGTTTTAACTGAAAAAATGACCAAGTGGCCGCAGCTGTATGAAAGGGAGCACAGCTACACCTGACCAGCACTGAAGTTGCTAAATTATTATAAGGGAAATTTCTTGGTCATTGCACTCCCTGTTTATGGTAAAGTCCTCTTGCTGCTTTGAAAGATTGACTTAAGGAAACCACCACACTAGTCGCTGCCATTCATAAATCTGCCTGCTTTAAAACTGCACAGCAGCACTGGTCATCTCTGCAGATTTAAATAACATCCACAAATGTGTTGTTGACGTCAGAGAGCCTTGCTTGCAAGTCAATCATAATACTCTCATGTACACTGTGAGGTCATGCTCACAGTTTACACAAACACCACAAAGCTAAACGACTAAGTACTAACAAAGTATTCACTGCTTCTTGACTTTATATACTAGAGCCGCTGTCCCTCTCCAACTGACCAAGGAGGTGTCGTAATGGAGGATACCTTTATAGACAAATGGAGTGTTAGTTCTTTTTTCTTCATTCTATGACAGGTAGCTTTCCTTTTGCAAACACAGGAGAACTGAGCTCAAATAATAAAGCTGTCTGGCAGCCAGCCAGTCGGCTTTGCCCCTTAAGATAATTATGTTTCGAAGCTACATCTGCAATGTCTTCAGTTTATTGGAGCAATGAAATAAATTCAGCTGCAGTCATTGCAGTTTTTTCAGCACTCAATAATGGAGATTAATGAAAAGCCAAGGGTTTTGTTTTAAAGCGACCTTCAAAATAAATTAGGGATATGAAACATAGATAAACAGCTATGAGCTCACTTCACATGAGTCTGCTGGATCCGTAAACTAAGGCTTTAGGGAATACTGTGGCCAATTCATATTCCAGTTACAATGACTGATAAATTATAGGGTCATGAATAATGCATAAGGGTAAACAAAGGTCATACTCTGCAACTGTAAATAAACTCACCAAGATAAGCCTAAATTATCGTAATTGGTTCATGGTGTCAGCTGTCCTCTTTTGTGTCATTAAAGCTGAGGGAATGATAGGTATGACATAAGAGACTGAAACTTTGAAACTCAACGGAAAAAATAAAATTAGTCTCACAAGTATAGTCATTTTAACCAGGAAACTTTGAAACTTGACTAAAAAGCTTTACAGATTCCACATTGGACTGGGATAAAATGAGCTTACATTCTTCCTGTTTGTGATGTACCTTCTGAATAGAGCGGAAATACATGTAGTGAATTATGCCAACTTGACTGAGTGCTTCATATCACCTTTAAAAATATGGACAGACTACAGTGTTCTTTAAATACATTCCACATATTAAAATCCAACAAAATAAATGGTCACTGGCTGTGATCTCCAAAATTCTATTGAATGAGGAGATCCAGCCTCGTTCATTTTTCAGCAACTGAATTTGAAACATTTGATACAACTTCTCAGCTCAAGAGCCAATGACTCTGGTATGCATATGTATATATGCTGCCAGTATGTGCTTCATTAACCTAAAAAGAACTTGAAAAAAAACGTAAAAGTTCAACAAATATTTGAACAAACATTCCCCCTGGTGAAAATTGCATTTTAACATTTCAAGCATGAAGTTGTATGGATCATCCCTCCACACCAGGCAGGAAAAGTTTAAAGAAGAGAATAGTAAGAATATGTACGCATAGTTTAATGAGTATAGACAGGCAGATCCATCTTTGTATTTGCTTTTAACATGAAGAAATGGGTTAAAACTAATTTACAAACACATTAAAAAAATTCTTAAACAGAAAAAAAAAAAACCCAAGAAAAAAACCGGAATGGCCCAAAAATAAACTAAACCTTTTGTATTAAAATTTTAAATCTGCAAGCAAAAAGGTCATGCATGAATAGTGTAGCTGCATCTGCTGACGTGTAGGTTTGCGTCGCCAGATGACATTTTGATAGTCCAGCCTTAATTGACAGATGCTTAAGGCAATATAAAAAAAAACAAGATGGCTCCATAGGCAGGTGGCCAGCTGAGCACTGACATACAGCTAGGCCAGGTTAGATCCAAATGTCCAAGTATAAGAAATATATAGTTTTGTTATGTGCCTTCTACCAAGCCTGATTGGGCAGAGATACAGCAGTGCATGCTCTGTTTACAGCTACAAGCCCAGCTTAAAAATATCAGACCTGAGCTGAAGAATGACGTACAACACTCAGGAGCTGAGCCTTTTGCAAATGACAAAAAGGTGTGTCAGGGCCCCTGCCCCAGTCACTGCATCTGCCCCTGCACAACCCTCTTGCTTTCTATCTCTTCATCTCCATCTTTCTCTCTCTGTCCCTCTCCTGGCAGGACTCTTAATTATTGCAGGAATTGGAGACAGCTGCGGGACCGGCTCACCGGTGTCTGATCACCTTACTCCACAAAGTCGGGCTCATCCCTCCACTCTCTGTCAGATTGTCGATTCTGATTCCACAGTCAGTCTGTCAGGCTAAACTTGTATTTTAGCTGTTGCCTTGTTACAAGTTATAATTCTGTTCTGTTCTGCTCGCAATATCCAGACGGTCTCTGACCTGTGTCCTGCCTGCTCGCTCCAAGCTGCTGCCACCTGATCTACACATATCAGCAGTTCGCACACCGTCTCAGATCTGATAACACCGTCTCAGATCCTCTGGCCCAACCCATATCCACCCAGTCCTTTTAACACCACTCGCCATCCCGACCCTGCCCACAGTCTGTCTGTGCATGCTGCCGGCTTCGCTCTGGCAATCCCCAGACTTTGTCTACTCCAGCTCGTCTCGCTGGATCCCAATTCCCAAGAGCCTGCCCGTCCCCATAGTTTAGTTTCCCGTTTTGTGAGTATCCCTGTTTTGATACCTTAGGTTAGTTATTTGATATTAGTTTTCCATAGCTTTTCCTTCTGTTAGTTTAGAGCTTACCTTTGGTTTTTCTAGTTTTGCCCATTTTTTGAATGAGTTTTGGTTACTCCCCATTCAGTTTTTCCTACAGCTTAGTATCCCTATTCTGAATTGGTTTGAATTTGTTTCTGTTGGTAAATAAACCTTCTTAACAACCTTATTAGTCTCTGCCTGCTGTGTTCATGCCTCCGTTGTGACAGATGTAATAACATTAGTAGGGAAAGAGATGCAAGGGTATTTCAGGTTCTAAAAACACTATTTTAAATGTTAGGGATTGGTGGAGTTCAGCATTCTTGAAAGTGAGGCTTAGAAATTAAACTTAAGTGAATGAAGACATGAGACGTGGGTTACATCATTTCGAGTGAGATACGTACATTGTTCTGGTGTTAGGTGGGGTAGGGCCTGTCCTCGTACCAGCTGACATGTGGATCCATCACCACCGCAGACGCCACAGTTATCCTCCCTGGCACCACTGGCAAGCTGCCGATCACAACCCACCTCCTGCATGCACATCACAAATATAGAGACAACAGGCTGACCAGCTGACAAAAGGCCATACGGCTGCAGATATAACATAGTCAAAGTAAGGCACACAATAATAGAATGTAATTAAATGACTAATAAATTCACAAAAAATAGCAATTCCAATAATAAACTACTTTATCATGACAGAAGTACATTTCTAAACATTTCAAACTAAATGATAAATTAATTTTAAAAAGGGGTGGTGGGGCGGGGGGATATTCACTTGTTGGAGCTAAAACAGTCAAATGTTGTAAGCCTTTAAATTCTATGAATATAAGTAAGAGGACTGGTGCCGTAATCAAGGTCTTGCCTGGCCTGGAATCTTTTAACATAGTATGATCTATGGTAAAAATTCAACTAGAATCCTTTAAATAAAACCATGCAGAACAAATTGAAAGAAGTATGAATCATCACATGCACGTCAGTATTAACATATATATTAGGTCACAGGGTCCTTGTATGCAATCTCAAGTAATACAAATGCATGACAAATCAGGTGTGATCCCAAAATTACTGTACAGGCAATGTTTTCAAAATCCCCATGGGTGCAATTGTTAATGAAGGAGCACATTTAAATGAGGCTTTCCCTAACTTGAAAAACAAATTCAAAGTTTTCAACAATGTATAATGAACCATCCATCTGCGATACCCACTTCACCCTCGACAGTGTTGTTGAGGGCTAGAGAGGGACATGAAGTCTACACATCAACAAACATGCACAAACAAAGGCACAGGAAACACAAAAAAAGGAAAGGAAAACAGAAACCAAAACCTGGGAACCGTGACATTCACCTGAACACCTTTGGGAGATTTTGGACTGACTTACTAGACAGTACTCTCCACCACCATCATGAAAACTCCAAAACAGCAAAATATCTTTTGGGAGTATAGTGTTTTGCCCAGCGACCAGAATATGGCCGTAGGAAATCCATTTTGAAACCACTCAGTTAGTTTCTCTGAACTTTAACAGCTGTACCTAAAACTTCAATTTTATTCTGGTTGAGTTCTTGGCTGAGTTGTGACATCGAAGCATTCATTTCTAAAATACAATTACAATAAAATCAAAAAGAATACAATTAAATGGCCCTAAAATCAATCATTAGGGAATGCCACGGGTTGTTTTGGAGCTTTGGAGAAAATGTCATCAACTGCAATGAAGAATATGTTACACTGTTTTGACCACAGAATGTGCACACTCAGCTGAATGTCTGACATGTTTTATAAGCTAAGTGAGACAGACAGACTGAATAGACTGCCTAAATTTTATATTAAGAAGGAATGTAAAGAGAAGTGTAGCTTGATCAGATACTTCCTCAGAGGTGACAGATGGAGGAGGCTCTTAATAACCACTGTGCTGCCTACAGATTTTAGCATTTTATGTATGCAATAATATGTATGCAAAAACTGCACAGAATCTCTCGATGTGTAAGTGTCTTGTTTATATTTAGATTATGTTACTTGTTATTTACATATCAGATATACAGCTTAACATTGCTACATAAAGCAGCATAGCAATGTTCACTCAGCACATTTAACGGACTTACTATTATCTAAGTGCATTGTTTTTTCACAAGAAAGTTTGTTCCAGTTACGTAAAAGTTTTCCAGTACTTTTTCCATCCCTGCCTTAACCAAGACTGGATTTAGTTTTATGTAAAATAAATCAAATTCTACCTTCTGGCATGAAATATATACACTACAAAGTCATGCTGTATTGGTAGAGCCCTGCAAGTGCACTATGGCAAGGAACTTACAACTGCATATTTCTCCTTTTTATACAGAAAATTCTAAATATGGTATTAGTATTTTGTTGATTTTGTCTTAAAATAAAAAAAAAAATAAAAATATGGACTTCTCCACCTCAAATACTATGTTACACTTTATATCAGTTTTCATTTTGCTCAGTATATTTTTTGTTCACATTTTTGCCTTGACTTGACAGTTGCAGTCGAGCTGGCAGGAAATGTGGGCAGAATGAGGGGGTATGAAATGCTACCTGGCTGACACTGGCCACAAACTGTACATGTTGCTGTGATGACTCAAGTACTTTCACTATTACACTACAGGACAACCCATACAACGAGTTTACACACAGTACTGGATGCTTTGACAAGCTGATCAAATGAAGTGACAGAAACACAAACACTCATTGACACACAACATAACACACTGCAGCTCTCATCCTCTTTCCTCCAGGAATTGTTTACATTTTCTCCTCTCCTGGTATACAGCTGGATTGTATGCTGCTGTGTAGCGTAGTATTAATCCATATACACGAACCAGTGGAGGGCTTGAACTCAATCGGTCTCTGACAAACTTCCTGCTCCAGTACCACAGCAATTTCTGCGTTGCAGCCATCATTGAATGATGCCATTTCATAACCAACATGCCCAGTGGCCTCTCTGCATGCTGTTTGAGCACACATCCATCATCCATCTCCCATTACTGCCTTTATACCTGTATTTGTTTGTGTACCAGGACAAGCCTGAGTAAAATCAGCCTCAGTAGGATTTTTGTTTTACATATTTTGGCAAGGGGCTGCAAGGTGGCGCAGTTGGTTAGCACTGTTGCCTCCCAGCAAGAAGGTTGCTGGTTCGCGTCCCAGTGGATCTTTCTGCGTGGAGTTTGCATGTTCTCCAGTGTGGGTTCTCTCCGGGTTCTTCGGCTTCCTCCCACACATGTTGAGGTTAATTGGTGATTCTAAATTGTCCGTAGGTGTGAATGAGAGCGTGCTTGGTTGTCTGTCTTTAAGTGTGGCCCTGTGATAGACTGGCGACCTGTCCACGGTGTCCCCTGCCTTCGCCCTAAGTCAGCTGGGATAGGCTCCAGCCCCCCCGCGACCCTAATGAGGATTAAGCGGTGTATAGATAATGGATGGATATTCTGGCAAATGTTTTGAAACTAAGTTGTAGAGAAGTAGATTTTGCTCACTTGTCTTTGTTCAAAATATGTTCTAGTTCAAAGATTATTGCTGGTGTCAGATTTGGAAGTCCTCCTTGATCCTTTGTTCCACCTGGGTGAGTCAGTAGAGACGTCTTTGGTCTACAGGGAGAGGACCATGTATTACACAAATACACCTGCCGGTGATTGTAGGCTTGTGGGTTAGCCTCATTTTAACACTTACAACAAGTTGTTACCCATTAATTCTTAAGCACTTAAAGGTGCAATATGTAAGATTTTGAGCATAAAGATTGTTTTGAAAGAGCAGCAAACAACCGTCTTCTATGTAAAGATGTAATGGCAGTAATGGCATCCTTAGCTTAGCTTAGGCTGAAGTCACACACCCTCTGTATGTGTTGTAATCTCAGCTAGTCTGTTCGATGTTTTGACAGTTAGGCCACCATGCATGTATGTTAGAGCATGTTAATGCACATGAGTCATTCCCTTTGAAACTGCTGGCCCTCCTTGCGATTTGTACACAGACCCAGAGTGACCTGCCACACCGCTGTAAGTGAAAGCGCAGTGCCCCCAAAAAGCAAAGACTTAAAAGCAAAGAATCTTATTTATGTTATTTACCTAATTCATATGCACTCATTTTAATTCAGGTCAGTGTGAGTCGC